TGAACTTTGAACTAGTTCACGTAGAAAGAGAACTTTCCCAACACTGGGTATTGGTGCCCTATTTGTCGGTACTCGCCGACAGCGATACTACCATTTTAGTGCCCTATCGGGGTCCAATACTGGTATCAGTGCAACAGTACTTGTAAGAATCCTACTTTACTACTTTGCATAATCTATTCCTGTTCATTTTTAAAACTTTTGCATATTGACTTGTCAAGGTATGGTTTAGATAAACAAAAGTGTAATAAATATGCTGGAGTACAAATGAAATAAAATGGAATAAGAGAAAAAATGCAAATTCTTCAGATAGCATTTTTTTGACTATACATGTAGTTTATTTGTCTACAATATCAAGTGTTTTATTAAAGTCAACGTAAAAATGGTCAGGTAAGTTATTGCGTTATCTTCCTTCAACTCAAACTTTTACACTTAGAGAAAAAATAATCACACACTTTCTCACTCACTTCCCCACTCGCACATGTCTGTATTTCTATACTGTGACTTTTTTTGACTGCTGTTAATTTTAGTAATGGCCTTTATGACTCACTCTAATGCTCACCCTGACCATGAACATGATTCACACTCTTGGACCTTACCAGTTTCACTGAAAATGGGAGGGTCAACCACAGTAGGGCTGGAATCTGATCTACATAGAGTAGTGCCCAGATGCACACATAGCGGTTACAGCTATAACACCTCACCGCTATCCTCCCCCCTTAAGAGGAAGCCACAAATGCAAAAGCATTGTTTTGAAATTTTGTACATCTAAGATAATCATTCTTTGCTGTAGATGTTTCCTTTACATTGCATTGAACCAGTGACTCAAGAAAGTATTTTAGTCCTTTGTGTTAAATCAGGTTACTTAAATATGTGCAACATTTGCTTGTGCTTTCTTAGTAAATGAATTTGCAAATTGAAATAAACTTTATTTTTATTATAATCTATCATTTGCATCCGGTCTTGCACAGGATTTTGAAGAAAGACTTAAATGGTGCAAAATCTGTCACATATCAGTAATTTAGTCCATAAGGTACATATAAGGCACAATAGTTTTAAAATGATGCAAAAGTACCACCACCTTCCCCTCCCTCACAACCCCCCTCTCAAATCCCCTGCTTTCATCTATTTCCTTTGAATTTCCTGTTTCTTTCTTGGTAATCTTCCTCCCCCTTGTTTTCTTGTAGGTCACTGTGTTTGTCTACAATGACTTGTTGCTCATAACGAGAGAAAATGAGCCTGGCAGATGTAACGTCCTACAGAGTCCCCTGTACCTCAGACACCTCCGTCTGCAGGATGGTAAGTTTGTCTCAACACTGCTGTATGATTCTTAAATGTCTGTGATCACATGGGAAGTTTGAAAAATGGAACAAGATCTAAATGCTGCATATTTTAAAGTATCTACCAGTAAACCATATCTGACCCCTTAACACTATAAAAACAGGAACCAGAAAGTGTACAAACAGAAATAAACATCCAGTACCATGGTTGTGGAGATATTTCCAGTTGAGTATTGCCAAAGTTTATTTATGGAACAAGTGCCAAATTTCTTGTTGCCTTGTCTTACAATTTGACCTCGATGTAAACAATTGGCTCCTCAGGCCTAATAAAGTGACTATCAGGGTCACACAGTAACTGAGCAAATCAAATAAATAGGGGCTCCTGTAAACATCAGTGCTGGGCAGAAACAGGGAGCTTGCTTCAGAGGCAAGAGAGGCTTAGAAAAAAAACACAATGGCACACTGAAACTGACATCTGATCACTGCATTCTATTTTTCAGAAACAACATGTTCTGTCAGCAATAGCTGCTAAAATAATGAAAATACACATCAAGATATTATTCATCCCACAACAGTTTTCATATTGTTTAAATTTTGTGATTCATATGTGTAAAAAAAAACTGAGGAGGTTTAAGCTGAGAGGAGAATTTTAAGTAATAACTCAAAACTTATTGTCCAGTGGTGTCATTAACTACCACCAAACACATACTTTAACTTAAATGGATTGTTCTACATTGTTTTAAAAATTTTGGACTACTTTAAAATGTTAGCTTTTTAGCCTGTTAAGCAGTAATTTTGGCATCAGAACGGTCCCATTGATTATTTCTCACCCAGTGTCTTTCTTATTGTTAAATCAAACACACAGACACTGACTGAGACAACGGGGGCCTATGGTGCTTTAGATTTCTGGGCTCTTTCATTATCTCTTGAAAGGCTGGCTAGTTTGGCTTCGTATCCTATGCTACTGCTCCTTTTCCCCAATTCTGAATCGTCTGTGGTTTACTGGAGTCCCTTAGCCTTTTTAGAGACATAACTCTTTCTAGACTAATATTTAGAAAGGAACTTGTTTAATGGCTTTTTGTTGTATTTCTTTAGAATATTGCATAGTGGGTTTTTGAGATATTTGAATTTCCCTGCTGCTTAACTTTCTCGATTCAATAGGTGTTTTGGTTTTCAGGTAGTGAAACGAAAACATACTGCCTCTTTATAAACAGGATGTGGTCAACATCTGTGTGAGCCATTAAATGCATTATTGATAAGTCAAGTTTTAAGAGACATTAAATGATGCTTGTTTTGCATTTCATCTGATAAATAATTGTTCTAAGTGACAATGTGCATGAAAGTGTGTGTACAGCCAGGTTTAATATGAGCATCAAAAAACATGCCAACATTACATGTCACCCAGTTGCAGTGATAGCACTGCGTCTAAGCTCTATAACTTATCTGTAGAGCAATATTTGCTTAACGGACACTTAATCCCCTTTAAGTAGTTTTGTCCTTCAAATATTAACTGTTACTTCAGATGTGGGTTGCTTTTCAGACACCACTGATCTTCTCTGAGCGTCTTCTGACCTCCAAGCAATACCCTATCAATCAAAATTCACTAGGCTGGAGATTCAAAGGGCTCTGTGTGTATGCTCTGAGAAGGGATACACACACAGTTAGAGATATTCATCTCCACCCTGCTGCTTGTCATTGTTATTTCACTTCGGCAGCGTCACTCAGGAAGGAGGCGCCGGGGGATTGTGTTTGTTTCAATGAGGGTGTGTTTGACTTGTCTGTGTGCGTGCATGTAATGACACAGGACGAGTTCAATACAGGGGCTTTCCTGTGTTCCCATTACCCCTATACCAGCCTCAGAAGCGTGGGAAACAACAAAAGTACTATAACAGAATAAAGCAAAGAAGACAACATGGTTGCTTAAGCATTGCCTTATAACAATAAAGATTCTGACACATTGTATTTCTGCTTTCATCTTTAACTTTGTGCTAAAGCATTCTGCCACTTGAATAGGCCAGTGCACTCTGTGAAAATTGTCAATTATTTCAAAAGTTGAGTAAAAGTGAAACAGAAATTCTTTATAAAAGATTTATCATCATGGTAAATTAAAAAGATTGCACGGTGCTGCATGTTGTGAAAAATAAAAAGGTACAGAAACTTACTCTGATAAAACGTTTGTCTCCGCCATACAAGGAAAGTTTTTTTCTAGATAAACATTCCTGCTTAAGGCTGATTTAAAACAGTATTCCCTAATTTCTCTAATAAAGAAATAAAACAAAAGAAAAAGACTGAAAAACAAAATTTTGAATCATTATAAAGTAAGTTTGTTTTTCTTTGTAAGAAGGTAAAACAAGCTAATTTCAATGTTGATTTAATACAGGCTAAATAGTTATTTGCTCATTTTACATTTATTTTGTTGACACTGCTAGTTTTAAATTGTTATACTGTACAACAGCGACCTCTGCTGTTGGACATGAGACTCGTAGATTCTGTTTTTTTCTTTTTGGTAATGGGAAAACCTTCCCCAAACATTTGTATCGAAGTAGGAGCAGTTCTATCTAATTGTAATTTTAGCCAAGTAAAATATAAAATTTTCCATTCAATAAATTAAAGTATTATATTATAAGTTCTGAGTTACTAATAATATCTTTACTGTAAAAAAAGAAAAAGATATAACCAGACAGACAAAAATATAATATTCTGGACAAATTCTGCCAATTTAAATAAAATAAAATAAAATAAAATATTGAATTCAACCACATCAAACAAATAAATAATTCAGGCACAATAAAACTTTTCAAAGTCAGAATTTCAAAATTTTATTTATAAAAAATATTCTAATAGCACGTTATAGCACGCCGAAGACCATACCTATTTTTTCTGCATATTCTCCTAACCTCCATAAGCCCAGCAGATAAAAAAATAATATCAGAACCATAGAACCTTTAAAATTTTTATATAAACTTTGGGGTGAGTCTGGTTAAATTCTATTTAAAACAAGCTTCTTGTTTCTTCATTACATGAAGTTACATAACCAGAAACTTTACTCAATTAAATGTTGTGATATTGGAGGATATTATTTCTCAAGTAAAGATGTTATGTGTTTTTTTCGTAAGAGTCTCTAATAAGTCTGTTGAGGTTCATATATGAACCTAAAAGTGTATGCCTTAAATCAGAAATACATAATTGAATAGTATGTTTTCTTTTGAATAAAAAAGAATTCAATTAATAAAATACAAAAAATAAAATGAAATTGTTTAAATTAACTGATTAACTGCTATTATTTCTTTCATTTCTTGTTTTAACCAAAAGGAAAAAAATGTTACAAGACTAAAAAAATTATCCAGTGTTTTGAAATGTATTGGCATCTTTAGCCTTTAGTGCTTAAAATAGATTTAAAGTTCTATACAGGTATTATCTCTTAACAAAGATAAAACCAAATGGAATTAACTACGCCTTCAGTAGTTTTTTTCCTATGATCTCATTAATCTCTCACAGCAACAGATAGGTTAGCCCACTCTTCATCATATAATAATGTGCAGCAACAGCTGCTTTTTTAAGATCATAGCTGATGTCCTTGCACCTGGGGATCGTGTTAACACTGACTTGTGACCACCAGGCTTCCAAGCCGCTAAAACCACCATTTAAATAGAATTTGGCATACTTGATTAGGAACCATCTGTAACAAGTGCTTCATTAGCAGCTCTTATTTGTAAAGAACCATGGTGTACTTTGTTTTCCCGCCAACTGCATTTACACTTTGGCTTTGTTTCTGTTTATGAAACAATATAAGTGGAATTGGTTTAGTGACTCTAAAGCAGAATTCAAATTCAGGGCTTCGTCCTTCGAAGGCCAGATTCATGGGCAGATTACATCATAGTGAGGCGCAGAGGTCTGTTCGTATTGGAACGCTCCTTGTTATGCGGCCGACAAATGCATCCTTCTTTTTGCTCGTTTGAAGCACAGGTCCAATGTATCCTATGTAGCCTTGGTTATCCCAGGATTCATTGCGAGTCCAAGCAAGCATGCTGCTCTGTGATCAGAGGAAAAAGGTACTTAATTAAGAACAGTGGTGAATAATGGAAGTTCAGTTTATCATGATATATGTGAATAATAATATGACAATATGTGAATAGTTCCATCTGAAATTAGTGACAATAGTTTTTTAAAATGGTTATTGAGTCAGATATGTGGCAGGTAATGTTTGATTTATCGAAAGGTTTTTATCTGTTACTGTGTAAATGGGTTTGGCTGTAATTTAAGGACAGATTGTAATATATCTGCAGTGTGGGGGCTATAAATCTGATATGATTTTTATTTTTTAATTGCTACTTTGCACAATTTGCTTAGCTAAGTATATTTTGACTAAGAGATTTTGCAGATATATTTTCTATAGGTACATCGTTTAGATTTACTTTTATCTTTCTGCCCCTTTTATATAATTACAATTGCTTTTGTTTGTTCATGCTCCACTTTGTATTCTCATGAGTGTAATCTTTGTTCACTTTGCGATAAAAGAAAAAAAGAGGAAAAAAAGAAAAAAGAAACCGCTTTGAAAAGCGCATGAATTCGAATTTAGCCCTAAGTGTCATTGTTACTCATTGTTTCATTGTTGACATTATTGCTACAGCAATACAGGCAGTAATGTTCAGTAAACAATGAAAAGAGTGAGTTAAAAATTCGATTTAGAATTCCTGCTGGAATCTAGTGTACTTATGCAGACATCTTTTACTTCATAAGGCATGCAAAACTGACATTTTTGCAAAACAGTAGAGTACAATGTTGTTAGAGAAAGAGTTTTCATTTAAGGACATTGAGACAATTCTTTTTAAATGCTGTTTTTGGCTTGAGATACACTCTTGATGGCATTTTGGAGCTTTGAGTAGTTTTTTTTTTTCTGGATGGAAAGGTAGATTTTTTCAGTGGTGTTCTGATGCTTATGTGTACGTTCCTGAAATACAGCCTTTAACACCTGTGTTTTATGCCCTAATATTAACAGTCTGAAACACTGTTTTTTAAAACGTGTTTTTTTTTTTCTTTTTTTCATTCGTCCCTCAATTGAGTGTCCCATGTTCTTATACGGGACCATATTTGTTTGCAACCCCCCACCCAAAAAAACAAAAAATTAAATATTAAACTTAATAGGGTATTTTATTACCATCTATCTTGGAAAAAAAAAAAAAGTTCACCAAAATAAAGCTAGGGTTTCAGAAGTTGAAACAATATAAAGTTAAACCAAGAAAGATCAGATTAACTCTGTTTGCCTTTAGTCAGCATTTATATCCTATTTTTATTTGTTTTTATATCTTATCTTATGTTTGTGTTGAAATATACATTTTGCTGCAGTGAGTAAGTTTTGGTTGAAGTTTGACTGTAGGGAAATTTAAAAAAATAAAAAGTTGACTAGTGGATATTAAACATGGATAAATTAATTTAACATGCTTTCATATTTGTTTTTTTGTTTGTTTGTTTTGTTAACTAGATTTAATTATGGATTCAGAGTGCTCTTATATGTGCACAACAGTAAACACCACACTGTGTATTGTGAGTATAGGTCTAAGTGTGCATGTTCACTCGATTAAAACCATTTATCTTGGCTCCAGAGCCACAGGCTTGTCTCCCACAGCGCTTCTTCAGTGAATTATGGAAGGATGTCTATAAGGCTGACCCACAGTAAAAGCTTTCCATCAATAAAACAATTTTGTCAGAATTGGAAATCAGCTGTGCTGCTTTTTGTACAAGATGGAGGAAAGTGTATGAAAACAGTACCAGAGGAAAAAAGGCTGTTAAGAAAAAAAAAAAACATTACTTAAAATGTGTTGTAACCCTTTTCTTATATTTATTTTTTCAGATTACACTGATGGGATGAGGTTCTATCTGATCCACATGACTGAGGTAAGAGAAAGACTCTGTGTTGCTGGAACAAAGGAAAAAAACAAAAAAACAAAAAAAAGGATTTAATGTTAACAGCCTATTTTGTCTTAGAGCCAGAGGGGCTATAGGCTGGGCTCAAAATCACATTACCAGGAAGACTTTGAGGATTAACAGAAAGCATTAATGAAAATGTCTGCTCTGTCTTTAAGAGACTTTCTTCTTTCAAACATGCAACAAAGATTTTTTCACATTTTTTTTCCAAAACGAAGGTAAAAAAAAAAAACACAAAGATTTTCATGTGGTTGTTGCATAGCTAAGAAAATTAAATTTAAAGAAGCAAACATCCAGACATGTAGCACATTTTAAAATATATGCAAATGTGGATAATCTGTTTGTTTACACTGGGATTTGTTAAGCTGTTGAGATATTATGAAAAGGATCAGATTTTCTTCCATCTGCTCTAACAGCTCTCATGCTGGCCTTTTGAGATGAAAGGGATAGTAGGAAATGGCTCTTGAGTGGTTACAATTTTCCACATTTAATGGCACATAAAAACTGCAGGAATATGTAAAAGTCCTGAACCTTTGGCCATTTTGTAAGATCACGCTCAAGTATTTGGACTTATTTATTTTTCAAAGTAGTTGTTTAGAAAGGTTTTCTATGCTTGGAATGTTGTGTTTTATACTGTCCATCCGTCCCTCCATCTGTTAGTCCGTCCATCCATCAGTCAGGCACTTATCTTACTGATTTATGGGTATTTTTCCGGTTTATCTCTTAGCAGAGATGTTCAGGACAAACCAACATTGCCTGCCCCGTTTTAAAGCGTAAACCATAATTTTTATTTTATTTATTTTTTTATTCTGTGAAAGGAAACCAAAGTACCCAGAAAGAAAATATATAATGATATTATCATTATATATTTTCTTCAATTAAATTATTAATTATTCAAAATGTCATTTTGTCATTTTGAATTGAGAAAGCTTTCTGGAGGAGAAACGAAACATCTTCAAACCTTGGAAACAAAGTCCAGTGGATTGTTTTTTAAACTTTTACGGAATGTGGCACAGGATGAAGTGTAGGAACAAAATGACTGCCTCCTCTGTGGACATGTTTCCCTGCTTTGTGAATTTCAGGGGATTCAGTGGGATACTGTGATGTCCTTCAGATGCTTCAACATAAGACAAAAGATGTGAGAGCAATAACCTGATGGTGGAAAGTTAAACAGATAGAAACATACAACTGCTCCAGAGATTGAAATAAATAAATAAGTGAAAATGGCTTCTAGTCGGTCAGTGTGGGTTTTCAGGCAAAGGGAGAAACATGGTTAGGTCCTTGCTTTTCTTAAGCTTTTACATCAAAAATAAATAAAAACATTTTTTTTGGGTAAAAAAAAGTTAATCATTATATACATCTTAAATGAACCAAATTAGCATATCGTCAAGCTTTAGTGTAAATATTGAACTATTCCTACTTCAAACATTGTTATCATTAAAAGTTTTCAGCTTCAGAATCCCAAACCTACTTTTTTCTAATTACTGAAACATCAAAGATGTTTGCACTTCTTACATCACAGTGTTTTTTTTTTTTATAGTACTTTATATTTATACAATCCACTGGGATCCTAGATTAATATCTCTCTACCCACACCCAGTCATTGCCATATTTAGATAAATATGTTCATAGCAACAAAAAAAAGGGCATGTCTGTTGCAATCAGACAGAGCAGGATGAAGGAAACAGAGAGCAAAAATGCAAGCTTCTGGGAGGTCCACTGAAACATTAAGAAAGTGATATTTA